AACTTGACACTGGACCTCAAGCAACGTGGATTCTGTGCCTCTCCTCTTTTCCTCCAGACTCTGGGACCTTGATTTCCAATGGAAATGCAAAATTTACTTTCATCAGAGAACATAACTTTGGACCACTCAGCAGCAGTCCAGTCCTTTTTGTCTTTAGCCCAGGCGAGACGCTTCTGATACAGTCTCTTGTTCAAGAGTGGCTGGACACAAGGAATGCAACAGCTGAAACCCATGTCTTGCATACATCTGTGTGTGGTGGTTCTTGAAGCACCAACTCCAGCTACAGTCCACTCCTTGTGAATATCCCCCACATTTTCGAATAGGTTTTGTTTCACAATCCTCTACAGGGTGCAATTATCCCTATTGCTTGTACTATATTTTTTGCCCTACAAGTCAGAGTTTTTTGCATAATTCGCATGCCCTGTGACATATACACCAAAACGACTTATTTATGGATTTTTTCCACCCATATTTATAAACCAATTTTGGCTGAGATATGACCATTTTCATTCATTCTGACTGAAAATATTGAACATTACCATTTTCAGAAGCTAGATGGCACTCGAGGTGTATGGCATGCCGTTGTATCATGCAATAGGTAAAAGTGGCTATTTATGACACAATCGGCTTGATAAAGCCTGCCACCATTGTCTGCGTGGAGCAAAAGTCAATTCAGCTTCATTTTGCTGTGCCGCCCCGACGAAATGCAGCTAATGTGACCATTGAAGTGCATTTATTAAATACAAGTTCAACTGAAATACATCTTTGCTATAAAGTCGAGCTAACAAATAATTGTTTTTTTAGGTAGTTATGTTGTTAAATTTTGAAGAAATGCACAGCGAGTCCTCTTGTGCACAGGTTCGGCCCACATTTCCAGGTCAGCGATGACACTTAACGCGATGTGTCAACAGCGACGCCTAATAGATGCGATGTATATGGCAAAGCAACGTATTTATCGATTTTTCCAATTTATTAGAAATATTTGGACTGATACAACATGTGGGGTGGAAAATACGGTACACTTTATTCTACCAGTTTCTTTCCCCTCACCTCGATTAATGTGATTGGACACAGAGCTCTGTGAACAGCCAGCCTCTTTAGCAATGACGTTTTGTGTCTTGCCCTCCTTGTGCAAGGTGCCAATGGTCGTCTTTTAGACAACTGTCAAGTCACCACTCTTCCCCATGATTTTGCAGCCTACAGAACTAGACAGAGACCATTTAAAGGCCTTTGCAAGTGTTTTGAGTTAATTAGCTGATTAGTGTGGCACCAGGTTTCTTCAATATTGAACTTTTTCATGATATTCTAATTTTTTGAGATACTGAATTTGAGGTTTTCATTTGTTGTCAAGTTACAATCATCAACATTAAAAGAAAAACATTTGAAATATATCAGTCCGTGTGTAACGAATGAATATATTATAAAAGTTTCACTTTTTGAATGGAATTACTGAAATAAATTCAACTTTTTCATGATATTCTAATTTTATGACCAGCAAATGTACATGTTCTCTCCGTGCATGCGTAGTTTCCTCTGGGTACTCTGGTTTCCTCCCACAGACCGAAAACATGTATATTAGGCTGACTGGTAACTTTAAATTGTCTCTAGGTGAGTATGAATGGTTGTCTCATTTCTCTCTATGGTGGACTTGCGACCTGTCCAGTGTGTTCTCCACCTCTTGCACAGAGACTGCTGGATATGGGCACCAGTGAACACCGCGACCCAAGAAGGAAGCGGGTAAAAGATAATGGGTGGATGGAACATTTAAAACTTTTTTAAACGAAACATTTCAATATTTAAAACTATTGTGTGACCTACTACTTAAAGTAAAAGCACACTGGTGTATTTTCACTGATAAGTTTGAGAAAGTAGACAACTTGCCTGCCAGTTGTGCAGCAACAGCCTGTAAAGGAAGCTGTCTGAATTCTTCTATTAGAGGCTGGATGAGAGTGCTAGAGACCAGCTCATGTTTACCGTAATCCAGCTCATAGACATTAACCAATCCGTTGGACAGGACTGCCTTCACCTGCACACGGTGCCAACTGAAGAAAGGAGGGCACCAAATAACAGATGAAAGGAAATCATTGAATCAATTGAACATATAGACAGTCCTTCATGTGTACCTAGTGCCAAGTGTTTATTGCTTACTTCTTGTCTATTTTGGCAGCGTACACTTCTCCCTTCTGGATGTGCACGGCTCTGCTAGTGTTCGCTGTTTGGTTGTAGTAAAGAACCATTTCTCCCATCAACACCACCAGCTTATGCAGATCCTGCCAGAGCTGGACCACAAAGTAACCGGGGTGGCACGCCACTGGCACAAAAACATCCATATTTTGACCAGGCTGGAAAGAGAGGATGATGGTGAAGCAGAGTTGGATGGTTTAAACTGCTTACCTCACTTAGATGACTGTACAGCAATACTGTTGTCCTTACAGAATGAAGAATTATAAAGTTAAAACATAAAAAATGTCATGCTGGGGTGCAGCTTTTACAAGAATTTTGCATTATGCCTAACAAACAGTGAAAAACAATCTTATCCAGACCTTCCTGTCACACTATACATGTACAGCAAGCATTTGTTTGAAGTATGTGCACATATTTATTGTACAACTAAAACTACAAGTCGTTTAATTCTAACTTACTCTAGAGGATGCTGGCTTGTAGCTGCTTTAAGTTTAAGGTGAGTTTCCTGAAGCATCTTTAAATATTTTCTTCCGAGTTCACCATCTGATTTGTTCCTTTAGTTGATGTGCCTTAACTGCAGTTTATGACAAGGGATAGTTTTTGTTTAGTGTTCATTTTATCCCAAATAAAACAAGGTTTGTCGAGTCCACTGCTGACATATTTTTCTAAACTTTGTACCTGCAGAGTTGCAGATATAAACAATTATTGTAGAAATTTGTTGTACAGATTGTTTTCTTTTCCATTTATGTTTTTCAGTTGTTGAAATCCACATAATGTGAACTGTAATGTTTCATGTAAACATTTTCAGTTTAATTCAACCTTTTACACAGGTTAGACTCGATGAGCCTCGTTTACAAGAGACCTGTTTTAAACAAGCACAGATGAGGTACAGACAACAATAGGCAATCATAAAAAAGCATATACAGGTCCTTCTAAAAAAATTAGCATATTGTGATAAAGGTCATTATTTTCCATAATGTAATGATAAAAATGAAACTTTCATCTTTTTCAGATTCATTGCACACCAACTGAAATATTTCAGGTCTTTAATTGTTTTAATACTGATGATTATGGCATACAGCTCATGAAAACTCAAAATGTCTGTCCCAAAAAATTTGCATATCATGAAAAGGTTCTCTAAACAAGCTATTAACCTAACCATCTGAATCAACGACGTAACTCTAAACAGCTGCAAAAAATTCCTGAGGCTTTTAAAAACTCCCAGCCTTGTTCATTACTCAAAACCGCAATCATGGGTAAGACTGCCGACCTGACTGCTGTCCAGAAGGCCATCATTGACACCCTCAAGCAAGAGGGTAAGACACAGAAAGAAATTGCTGAACGAATAGGCTGTTCCCAGAGTGCTGTATCAAGGCACCTCAGTGGGAAGTCTGTGGGAAGGGAAAAGTGTGGCAGAAAACGCTGCACAACGAGAAGAGGTGACCGGACCCTGAGGAGGATTGTGGAGAAGGGCCGATTCCAGACCTTGGGGGACCTGCGGAAGCAGTGGACTGAGTCTGGAGTAGAAACATCCAGAGCCACCGTGCACAGGCGTGTGCAGGAAATGGGCTACAGGTGCCGCATTCCCCAGGTCAAGCCACTTTTGAACCAGAAACAGCGGCAGAAGCGCCTGACCTGGGCTACAGAGAAGCAGCACTGGACTGTTGCTCAGTGGTCCAAAGTACTTTTTTCGGATGAAAGCAAATTTTGCATGTCATTCGGAAATCAAGGTGTCAGAGTCTGGAGGAAGACTGGGGAGAAGGAAATGCCAAAATGCCAGAAGTCCAGTGTGAAGCACCCACAGTCAGTGATGGTCTGGGGTGCCATGTCAGCTGCTGGTGTTGGTCCACTGTGTTTTATCAAGGGCAGGGTCAATGCAGCTAGCTATCAGGAGATTTTGGAGCACTTCATGCTTCCATCTGCTGAAAAGCTTTATGGAGATGAAGATTTCATTTTTCAGCACGACCTGGCACCTGCTCACAGTGCCAAAACCACTGGTAAATGGTTTACTGACCATGG